GGGGGGGGGGGGGCACAAGTGCTCAAACAAAGTCTCTCTTCATGCAATTCTATCCACTAGGCTCAAGAAACAAAACCATGACAATGAAGGTGTGGTATGAAGTTATCTCTGACTTATCAATTTATTAAATGCAATGTAACAGTAACTATTATTTAATTAAAGCTGTCTCACAGAGAAATCAGAAAGATATCTTGTGAAGCAGCACTGCCAAGCTCTACATTATTTATAATAATAAAATCTAATTGGGTATGGTCTTAAGAAAGCATTATAAGCAGATGTTTAAATAGTGATTTGGATCCAGAATACTTTATTGATTCTTATGCCATTATACAAGATATTCTTCTTAAAAAATATTTTTTTTAACATATTGATGCTTAATACTGTTGAAAATAAAAAAATCTTCATTGTATTCATTGTTATGCTGATTATGACCTCGTATATGTGGAAAATCATTGTAAATAAATGCACTGAACTGAAAAAAAACAGGCTATTATTGACCTATCATGATTCTCCACATATAGTGTATTTATTGAAAAATTTTGATTCCTAATTCAAATTAAAAATTATATTTGAAAATATTTTTTTGAAATTTTTGGTATTGCCAACTAAGTTTTTGCGTGTTGTTTGTAGGCGCATGTCAACCTGAAAATATATAGCTTCAGATCTGACTTAAAATATTTGGCGGTATTTTTGAATAAATTTTGAAAATGTTATTTAGGCTTTATGTAAAGTATCTCCTAAAATCAAAATAATCCGTTTCAAATTCACAGGGCCTTGAAATTGCGTGGATTGATCGGTAAATATCAGAGAAAATCCGCTGAATAGTTCCCGAGCTAGAGTTGTCCATGACCAGATAGAGACAGACATTTTTTTAAACAATGGTCTGAAAGGCATTTATTTATAAACGAATTTTTCATTATCAAGGACCCACCAAGCAGATTCTAACTTTACATGACATGATTGAGGAAGTAATTTACTATATTCTGGAACTTGAGTTATTTTTATGGTATCAGGAGCATACAATATTCTGAAATTCAGTTCTTTTTTTTTTAACTTCTGAATCAACTACATCTCGAATTTTTTCAAATCGAAGTTGTTTTTGTTTTTCATCTCAAATTTTTTCGCCTTCGAATTTTTTACCATCTCACCCTAACTTCGTAAGTTGAGAGTGCCTTGTAATTGTGTACCAGAAAATGGCAAATCTTCAAATGAAATCTCATGAAATGAAATGAATGAGTGCAAAAAGTGCATAAAAGAGCAAAAAAAGTGCATAAAGCTTTTTTCTGTGTATTGTAAGGGACTTGCACCAACAGTGTAGTAAGAATCGATGTTTTGTGTCCTTCAAAATTTGATTGATTTTCTACCCATCGGTCTCCACTCCTGCTTGTCTGTCCGTCCTTGCCTTGCCTTGCCTTGCCTTGCCTTGCCTTGCCTTGCCTTGCCTTGCCTTGCCTTGCCTTGCCTTTCTGCCTTGCCTTTCTGCCTTGCCTTTCTGCCTTGCCTTTCTGCCTTGCCTTGCCTGCGTTTCTGCCTTCCTTGTGAGTTAAAAAATTGTTATTTTAGTTTTTGGATGTCCTGTGAGTTTGATTTTTAGTTTTACATGATGCCTCAATAGAATTTTCCAAATTTCCTTTAAAATATTATCTAATGTTTTGATTATTGTTTGTCCATGGATACTGAACCGCACAAAACTAAATTTCATAGAAAACCCTGTTTTTCGAAAATTTATTAAGTTAAAAACTTTATTCAGCGTATTATATTAATAAACAAATAAATCTTCATACCACCACAATATTGAAGATAGATATTTTTTCCTTAACTGTTTCTGAAAGATATGTTAAAATAAGGTTGTGAACAAATGTTCAAAAATTTGGCATGAAAATTAGAAAATGTTTGAATATTGTTTTTCTCAAAAACTGCTTTTTCCTGTCTTTTTCTCTCTCCCTCCCCGTGTATGTATCAAGGAACAGTAAAAACGTGATGCTAGTCTCATTTTCGAAAATTGCAACCAGGTAACTTTGCAAAAACTACAAATTTAAAAGGCTGTTTTCGTCCCCCAAAAAATAAAAAATAAACAACGTTCAAAAAATCAGATTTTTAAGAAGGGCCAGGCACAGTTTTTTGAGAAAAGAATTTTTCGTCCAATTCCTGCTTGGCAGTTGATGCAAATTGGAGGGGGGGGGGACAGTTAAAACCACTTTTTTCCTGATGGTTAGAACAAGGGCATCATAGGGAACGGAGCACGAGGTATCATTTTAATTAATCTTTCTGGAGTAATTATAAATGCAAATGTTAGTAGTGAGAAGGTATATGCTTCTGTAGCTTCACTAGTTTTAAAATGCATATTCATTATCTAACTTATGCTTCAATATGCTGTTTTAAAAATTAGTTGTAAATATGCCTAGTTTTTCAGATGTGTAATTGTTTCATGAAATATATTATCAATCAAACAAAATGTAATGTAGGAATTTTATATTGGTAGTTAATTCTCATAGTTAAATTCTTTATTAATTAACCCTCCGAGTAATCCTGGAGCCATTAATGACCCCAGTCTCTTGGAAATTTCTCGGAAATTCATCAAAAACCTGAGCAGATTTAATAGTGGTTCAGTGAATTTTGTATTCAAAGAAGTTTTTATCTTATTTCATTGAATACATTTATTCATGCCTTACATTATGTAATGATTCCTAAAAGATGTGTGTTTGGGGTCCTTGCAAGACCCTCATGATATTTTCAGTAACTTTTTTTGAAATAAAATGCTTGGTTTTGTATGATAATATTGCGTTTCTAACAAGTGTAAACAAACTTTTATCTTTTTCCTATTGATCAACAGATGCCAACTAAAAGGATTTTTAAGTTCCAGTCAGAAAAAAAAACTGTCAAAACGTGCAATTGGAAATGGGGTCTCGAAAGGACCCCCATGGTATTTTACGTTCCAGCGAGACCGTGGTACTTGGAGTGTTAAAGTTCAAAGATTTTCATTCTACCATAAGTTATTGGACTATTTATCTAACTCTGTAGTAACAATGTATTTTGTTTTCTTCTTTGTATGTAGATTCAAGTATGTCAACACATTCACCTGTCGATAAAGCAGTAATGCGCTCTGATGCAGCAGCTGAACTCGATCGACTAACACGCAGCAAGAAATCAACTCCACCTGACCAGAACTCTTCCGACTGCTGAATTGGAAGGATTTTGAGTTGCAACAGGCTGCGTGATCGGTTCAAAATCAGTGCAAGAAGGCTTTGATGATACTCGAAACTAAAGAGAATTGACATATATTTTTTCCATATTGTATTTAATACTGTGTGAAGCTTGTGATTAACGATGGAAGGGCAAGTCTTTCGAAAGGAGTATTTAGTCAAAGCTTCATGTTGCACATGAATAGGCCTGTGATATGAATGTCAAATTTTGCACATTCTTGCTTCTAAAGTGCAATCGTTAGTCCCACTCCTTGCAGTATGCAAGACAGGTTGGGAGAAAAGACATTTATCAGCTTACCTGTGAGAATTAACAAATCATAATTACTTTTATTTATTTTTCTCTCAAGTAGTCAGACCTTCCTTACAAGCAGCTTCTTGATTTACAAGGAGCTGCTTTGCTGAACTCTGTGTAATACTATTTAATGATGCCAAGATGTGTCATATTTATTGATGGAAATATTTCCAAAGAGAAGTAACACAATTGTAGGGGGGTACCATTAACAGTGTGTGTGGGTGAATGTGCACGCTTGTATGTATAGGTTTTGTTGAATAATTTCAACAGTTTTGAAAGTGATCATGAAGCTGTACAGTATGTAACAATATTTGTTATATTTCTAGTTACAAATAATAAGCTTAGGAAAAATATTTCTTCTGTTAAATGTATATAGTCAAAGACATAAAATCACTGTATTCAACTTTTGTTGCATTCTGAACTGCCAGGTTCATTTTGGGAATGTGAGAAGAGCCTTTTTTAAGCTTTGGTTTGTAAATTTATATAGCACAAAATATTTCTTTTTTATAAATATATTTATTGAAATATAACACCCACTGCTTGAACCTCGGGCAGAATGCTGCATTGTGTAAAAATGTCAGGCTCTGACTTACGAAATTATCAGCTTGCAGAATGAAATGTAATGTTTTAATCATTGCCTGCCCTTTGTGAATCTGAATTTGGTAGCTAATTGTTAATATAGTCATGTTTGAGCTACAGAAAATGACAGAAACTGCCCCCTCATTGTAATAAAACCCTCTGAAATGCAAAATGTCTTCTTATTGCACAAGATACAAAAAGATTAAAAAACCACAAAGTTAAGTTTCCATTTTGAAAAGATCTAAGCATTCCGTATCATTCCAAGTGTAGACTAGTTAATGATTCATCATTTAATGGTAATGTACTAACATTTTAAGTTCAAACTTAAGAACATACAGAAGTTTTCAGAGACATGTATTTTTGCATGTGCCCCAACAACTGAAATTGGTGTCCCTCAGAAATATCAAATAACTACATCAGTTCACCATTCAAGTTTACTGCTGATGGCTATACTCAATAAAAATTGAAGATTAAGATTGAGAGTAAACTTCCCTACTTAATCATTCCTTTGATGTTTCCTATCTCCTCTTTAGGCATAACATAACTTACGATTCCTACATAACATAACTTTTGTATTTAGGCAATGCAATTTATTAAAGGATAATTGATGGCTAGAACATGCATATGCAGACAAGATCTGACACATCCAAAACATGATTAGTTGCATGGAAAAGTATTCATTGATAAGGGAGTTTTTGAACATCTTATATTAAGTCGTAGAACATAAGCATTCACAAAATTCGACAGTATAAAATAATTCCATTTAAATATGAAATACCAGTTTAATAAGTGCTACAAAAGCTATACTTCTACATAAACCTGCAAAAGTGCTTTCAATCAGCAATTTTTTTCCCGCCCCGGGACTCGAAATCAGAGTTAATTTAGTCGTCAATCATACCATTAGCCACAAGTGCTATATGCAACAAACTCGGACCGTCTGTTAAAAACGTAAATGCTCCCTTCATATACTCCCTCAATATATCCGTTTCAAACTCGCTAAGTCTTGAATTCATTCAGATCAATCGGGGAATGTTAATTTTTGAGAAAATCGACTGAACGGTTTACGGGTAGCGTCCGCAGACACGTTTTGCCGTCAATCGATTTCTGTATCAAGGTCCCACAAAACCCACCATGTGTTGGGGAAATTTATCCTATATTTAGCAACTGGTTTTACCCACTTTTTCTTTGCCAGGCCCCTGTAAAAAGTTTTTCTGCAGAAATTCGCCGTTTTCTTCACGGTTACGTACGGACATCGTAAGTTTTCGCGATTTTTTTCCGTAAATTTCGTGTACAAATAGACTAAAATACACTTATAAAGATGGCATTTTCACAGTTAATTCTGAATTTTCAAAAATGTCAAAAGTTTGAATTATTTCTGGCGTCTTCCTACAACTACAATATTTTTTTAAAAAATCCAATGGAATTTGTCGCATACGATCAGATCTTTCAATAAAGTCGTGTATTTTTTTTTTTAATTTTAGTAGTGTTTGAGCAATATTGCGTGTAATATTTGCATTTTTTTAAAATTATAAAAAACAAGCTTTTCTCAAAAATAGCTTCATTTTTTTTCTTTAAATTCTAAGTATAGATAGTGTTAAATGCACTCTATAAGATGACATTAACGCCGCATTGCTTTACACTTTTGTTCTAAAAACTGCAATTTTCTGTCTTCTTTCACTTCATTTATATTTACATTGGCAGCAATTGGTTCACATTACTGTATTTATGAGTATATGTGCTTTAAATAAACTCAGATTAAGTTTTTCGAAAAGTACTGTTCTCCGTGAAAACTAGCCCAAAATAACGCATTTTCAGAAATGCTCAAACGCCATTATCTCAAAATCGGCCTGAAATTTTTTTCTTCAAACTTTTCGACCAGATTGTGCTAACTGTACTCAATATGACATAAAGTTCATTTGGGGTACTTTTTTTGTTGTTTTTTTAATTACACAAATGTAATTTGTTTGAAAGATCTCTCACGCCGTTAATAATCTTCAAATTTCGAATATACAATACCGTTTAAACGCAGTGTTCTTGAAAAGGGCTTCAATTTTTTTCTAACAAAATTGCCATTTAGGGCGAGGTTTTACTATTCTTCAATATTCTTAAAATAATATTTCCATTTTATTATTACGAAATGGAGAAAGATAAAAAAATTTTAAAAAATGTACTTTCAGGTGGCGATAGATGGCAGCTGGCGAGAGTCCAAATAGCTAACAGAGACTAAGGAAATAGAAAATTAATACGGGAAAGTCTGTGCTATTCTGTATCACCACAGCTGTACCGATCGCAAAATGGCCATCATGACAGACGTACCCTTGAATTAGTCTCGGATAACCAAATTTTTTAATTAAATTTTGTTGTTGTATAGTACAATAGACGTTTAAGAGAACGATGCAGATTGCATTTTTGTTGCCATCCCCGATTTTTCGAAAATTTGAGAAAAAAATAAAACTTCAAACTTAAAGATTGAGATTTTTGAGACAGAAAAATATTGTACAAAATAAGCTCTTTAAAAAAGGCCATGTACAGTTTTTTTTTTGAAAAACGAGTAGTTTTTGCGTTATTTGCGATTGAAATAAACGAAATTTTTCTCAAAAACTGATCTCAATGTTTTCTTTAAATTTTCTTCACATATGTAATGAAGGACGGTAAAAAAATATGGTGCTAGTTCTATTTTCGGATATTGATAGGTTTTTTGAAAATTAAAACTACAAAATTGGCGATAGACAGATTTGCCTCAAAGTCTGTTGTATAAAGTTAGCTCTTCAAAAGAGGTCAATTATAATTTTTGAAAAACGAGTAGTATTTTGCGATTGAAATTTTAAAAAATATCTTAAAATCCACTCCAATTTTTTTCTTTAAAAAATTTGGTTTTAGTGATCTTTATTTTGTACTTTAAGGTATCATACTTATAGGGTAGACAAACCCTATTCTTCTAAACAGATTATTCATTTATCTCAAACATTCACCATCACTGAGGAATTCAGCAATTGGACCCTGCAGAGTCAATCTCGATTGTTGGTTAAAAATATAATAAGCAGTATAATTAGATCAAGAAAATGATATAGCCATATGGCTACAGTGGGACCGAAAGGGTTAACAAACGTAATGGGGCGCCTTTTGTCAAACTATATTTTGCATCAATTTCGCATTCAGTGTTGAAATTTTATAGTATGATAGACAATTTAATAGGTCGATGTACGAAAAAATGAGAGAGAATTTGCATATGACAAAAAATAATTATTTTATTTTCCTTGTCCTCTGTTTGAGGTCGAAACGGGGACAAACTAGTGGTGGCATGTACACTTTGTCGCAGTATTTGTAACTTTTGCAAATTTCGAAAATTCAGAGACTAAAACAAAAATTAGACCGGCGCCATTTAGACCTTCGTCATTTAGACTTGCCAAAATTAGACCAGCGTCATTTGCCCTATCCGTGAGAAAAATTAAAAAAAAATAAGAGCAATGTCTTATACTTTTTTGTTGAAAAAAAAGGCATTTTTTGTTGCAAAATTTCATCCATTTCTCTATACTACATATAAACGTAAATTTGGAAGAAAAAAAACTTTTGAGTGTGGCGCTGGAATGTAGAAAGAAAGAAATTGACCAATCACAGAGAACAATCGCTAAGTCAGATCCTGACCACACCTTTAAGTATGGTCTTCACCTAAGTCTAACAGAAGTATTCATGGTCGTCACTTATGTATACCATCAATTGGAGTTTTGTCAATTGCTACGAGACCCAAACGGGAAATGCGAACGGGAAATTTTGCTTTTATTCTCTTGTAATTGCAATGAAACAATATTCGCCTGTTCTAGTATTCAGTATCATAATGACATCCTAAATGTGCTCAATTCAAAATTTGATATTAATTCTAAATTATTAATTTTACCGAATTATTAAATAAAATTATTCCTGAAAATTTCAAAAAATTAGAAAGTACCAAGTGGTGAGTTCAATTTCCAACTTATTGAACGAAGCCTGTAACTCGTGTTTTCATCCTTGAAGCCCCCGAATCATCACGTATAGAAGTGACCATAAGTATTTAGTGCATTTCTAAAACAGTTAACTCACGTATTTAATATATACGGGTAATTAACATTACTTTCGTTTATGTATTATAGCACTTTCATTGATCCATTTTAAGTTAATAATGTACGCCATCCACTTGATTCATAATTTTTAGTTCTGTGGTGCAAGGGAATTATTTGGATTTGAGTAGTAGTTGCATTTCTTTGTGAGGAAGTGTACCAAATTATTGGTTGGTTACTGTTGTAAGCAGACTTGAAAATCGCCTAGTTGGGTTTACAAATTCCTAATACGGATTTGTTGAAAGAGATTTTCATCCAGAATTCGTGAGATTTTATTGATTATTAGGTAATATTGCATTTACTGTTGAAACTCAATGTATGTTTGCCAATGCGAGACATTCCGATATTCACAACATCGATCAATTTAAGAGTATCTCTTACGGTATTATTTTTCTTTTCGAGTGATACTAATATTGGGAATTATTTACAGAAATGGCGGAAGATTTAGACGTAGAAGCTATGCTGGAAGCCCCGTACAAGAAAGGAGTAAGTACCGATGTTAGTTTGTATTATTTTGGGATGGGTTGGAGTATTGCAGATACGAAAATAAATATAGGGTAGTTAGTGTTAATTATTTTGGATTTGGTGATGGTAGAATCTTAAATACATATTTAGATGTCTTCAATGAATTTGTGTTGTTTCGATTTTGTGAAGAAAATTGTAATATTTTGATTGTTCAATCATGTTATTTTCTCACTGATATACTATCCTCCATTTCTGTATATTGTAGACCCTTACATGTCACAGCTTGGCTCAGGCCCGAGCTTCAGAACGGGGCAGGGGCACAATGCAGAAAGGTACTGCCAAGTTTAGGTATCTTTATGTTTTTATCATACTGCATCAATAATTGAAGTAACATGTTCATAAAAATTCCTTTTCCAACTTTCCTGTTTACTAACTTTCTTGATTGAAATGTTATTTGGTAGTTCTGTAAGAGTTGCTATGTAAGTTTCAATATATAAATGATGATCATTATTTTGGGAGGTAATTGAATTCTATTGGAAAAGCTGTTGTATTAAATTATAGGCATGTCACACTTGTCTAAGTAGATCTTTGCCGTCATGTAAAGCTTTTTTTAAGAAAAGATTTTGTGTGGTAAGGTTTCTGAATATGTCCCCTTCTGTCACCCCAGGGCCCCACCCAGATGGGTTTGCAAGCAACAGTCACTCTTACCCAAGAGATGCTTGATCACTCGAACGCTTCACCGGATGAAGATGTGTACCAGGAAGCTGTGGACGCTAAAATACCTGTTAAAATACTCCCAGATGCACTCTAGATTAAAATGAAAATGCCTATCAGCACATTTTATAGGTAGTCACAAGTGGAATAAAACTTGCCTTACGAATTTTAGAATATATTTGCAGTGAATGGGTGTGTCATTGATTTTTATTTCTAAATGTTTCAATTGTTATTCTGTTGATACTTTGGTTTCTTTCAGTCAAAAAGTTTCTTTACTCTGGTTATGATAAGAAAGTTACTAAAATATATTTGTTCAGTTTATAAATCAGGGTATTGCATGCGTGTTAATTTCTTATACTAGCTATAAATGTATATTAATGGTTGATGCACAGTTGATAAAACTCAAATGAAAATTCATTTTAAAGTTAATGAAGTTTCAAGCATAATTGCAATGGTTTAATTTTTGTTATTATCTTTCTAAACACTTAGATTTTGATGTTTCTTATAAAATTTCAACATTTTTAGCATTATTAATGAAGTTTTATTATCATTATTAAATATTTTTTTATAAATGTAATTCAAAGCTTGTTAATTTTCAGAAGAGATACACTTTTTCTTGATTTAACTGTGGATCAACAAATTTGTCTTACCCTAGTGATTTTTATAGTAAGTGACTTCTTGTGTTGACATGATTATTATATAAATTTTTGTGATTTTAATGGTCACATTAAGAAAAGGAAATTCTATTTTTCTGAAGATAGTTCAAAATGCTTGGCAGTCTGTTTGTTGTCCCCCAAAACAATTTTCCTCCCTTTTGTTTGAATGGATTGTTGTGTATAAATTAGTTGTAACTTTCTAAACAGTACTTTGCTTTGGTTAGAAATTACTTTGTGCTGTTGATATTGTGGTAATGATAATTACAAATAGGTTGGCAATCTTTTATCTCAGTCTCTTTGAATGTGCTGATGGGCTGGTGTATTAGAATGTTATGATTGTGTTCCATTGCGGGTGAAGGATTGTGTCCAAGTATCGTGTTCATATTTTTAATATTATTCTGCACCATTTTATCTTATAGATTTAAGGAAATTGGTATATGATTTGATGTAGTTATAAAAAGAAATTGGGATCTTAAAATGAATGTTTCATGAAGTATATTCACAATTTTTAATATCAACTAAAATTTTTTTTCTGTATTGCTTTTCCTGCTTAAAATTGATACATAATCATATACCAACGTTCTTTTTCTTTCAATTTAATCTACTTTTAATTTAAATATCGGTGCACATATACATACTTAATGTAATGGTTTAGATTCAAAAGTAAAATTTGTTAGGTCCAAAGCAAATTATTTAATATGAAAGCTCGAAATTGCCTTAGTTTCAAAACAAACATACCATCTTTCATGAGCTGTATCTTTGCAGAAGTAAGGATGTGATACTGTATTTGGCCGAGCACGAGGACACGTGGCATAGGAGGTGAGTAATGGGAGGATTTGTGGGGGGGTCCCCTTTTCCCATCCAAAACGCCTTCCAGCTCCAGGGTTGAGGGCTTTAGTTGGTTCCTTTAACAGCTGCTTTGCGTGTATTGTTTAGCAAGCGGAACCAACAAATGTGGGGCAAGAAGAGGAATCTACACTGTGTTAAAGTTAAATTAAATTAGGTCTTGAGTAATATATTAATTGCATTCTGGTGTTTGTTTTCTTCCTTTCTTCCCCTTCTGCGTGATGCCTGGTTGCCGTGGGTTACCAACTTTGTGTGCTGCTGTTTCATAGGATGATGTCTCTACCAACAAGATCAGCAGCCAGCAAGAAAATGGGACATCAAACAGTCATCGGTCTTCTGGGTGAGTAATACGAGTTTAAATTAAAGACTTTTAAGTCAAAAACTCTCTAGGAACCTCTATGCACATCGCCTTCATTAAAAAATTACTGCAGTAAAGAGAACATAGGTATACCTATAAAAATGAGTGATGGCTGTTGTTCTGTTTGTTGTAGAATACTGTTCAGTACATAGCAGTGAAATTAAATTATTTTGTGGTGAGTATGGAGGTGATGTTAATCGGCCATGATACATTGATAGCTTACAAAACATCTCAACAATTCGTGTTGTTTGTACAGGAATGGGAATTCATATGAAAGATTTGTGTAAAACCCGTACAAAATGGGGCTGATACTTTAGAATTTTTGAAAAGTGGAAAGTTTGTGATAAGATGTGATAATGATGGTATTTAGGTTAAGGCTGGAGGTACCATCCTAAATTACGTTTCAAATTACATAGGCTATACATAATAAGGTTATTAAAATGTATATGTATCATTCAGGAAAAGCAAGCACAGAAGTAGAAGTAGATCCCATGAACGTGATCGCCACCGGAGTCGTTCGCGTGACCGGCATCGTGGTGAACGGGAGAAGGACAAAGAGCGTGATCGCCACAGAGAACGAGGTGAGCGGGGTGACCGGGAGAGGGATCGCGAGCGCAGGAGAAGCAAGGAAAAGGATCGACATGACAAGGAACGCAGACGCAGCAAAGATAGAGAACATCGAAGAAAAGAAAAGGAAAGGGAGAAAGAGAAGGAGAAGGAGAAGGGAGAACGAGAGAGGAGGAAGCGATCCTTGTCACCAATTACTCTTCCCCGAGCAAGGGACAAGTTTCCTTTCAAGAAAGGAGCATCGCCTTTAGGACTGTAAGTTATGATTGAGCTGTCTAGTACCAGGAAACCTTTCAAAACTTAATTATAGATTTAGTTAGCCTTTGTGTGAATTTCTGTTCATACAATTTCTTTGTTCCAGAAGAGCTCTAGATGATCTATCACCAGAGGAACGTGATGCTCGAACAGTATTTTGCATGCAGCTGTCACAAAGAATTAGAGCGAGGGATTTGGAAGAGTTTTTCTCCTCAGTAGGAAAGGTACATTTTATTAAAATATTTGAGTTATGCGTTTTCAGAGTTCAAATATTAAACTAAGTTATCTTTCTTAGGTCAGAGATGTCAGACTCATTACCTGCAATAAAACAAGACGTTTTAAAGGAATTGCATATGTTGAATTCAGAGATCCTGAATCTGTTCCATTGGTAAGTGTAAAATTTAATTAAAATGGCAGAGATTATGGGGCAGTGGAAAATATTCACTTGCTTTTCAATAAACACTAGGAAACTGAGTATTATAAAGACTTTCTTTTTTTAGTACTGGATAGTAGAAAAAGTGTGTTGTGAATTTTGGGTTTTTAACCTTATTTAAATTTTTCGTAAACCACTTTTTCCTCCTTCCTGTGTCTAACTAGGACACTTCTATGGTCACGAGATAAAAGTTCTTAAGTCAGTGTTTGGCATAATTGAGTTAAGTACTGAAACTGCAGTTAAGTATCTATATTTTATATTAGTAAAATTTCTGTATTCAAACGTTGCCTCCTTAATGGCCAAAAACGTTCAGAAATATAGCTTGGATATAAGATTTTTGACTTACGAACTTTTTTGCCCTGTGACTACAGACTTATTAATCAGGGCTTCTGACTTTTCTTGGACACCACAGAATACCAATAACACAGTAAAAAAATGTTGGTTTTATTAGAGAACTAGATTAGGCCATTCTTGTGATAATAGTTCATGTTATCGTAAAACTTAAAGAAACTTAATGATACTACCAAATTAAATCGGAAGAGGTTTTTGTATAATTTTGTTTCTATTTTAGAACTATGAAGACAGTTTGCACTTCTACTGTTCATTATGTAAAAATTTTCTACCATGAACGATGGATAACTTCAATTATTATTGTAAAAAATAAATAAATAATTGTCCTTGGTGGTGCTTAGTAGTGAGAATGAACTGTGTATGTGACAGTGGAGATCCCTTACAAAAGATTCAACCTATTCAGTGCAGTCGAGTGGTTAGAGAGAAAAATGGGTGATAGAACATTAGCTTAGGAAATTAATAGAACAAGAAGCAGATAATTAATTGGTCACCTAAAAAACTTAAGAAATCCCAGAAACTATATGAAGCTTGGTAAACTCTCTTACACTCTGAATATCACCAAATGAAATGTGCTTTCGAGAGATGCAAGAACCTTTTTATTAAGAAATACTATATTTATGCCGTAAATATATTGTTTATATGCATCCTTCATTTTTATGAGCAATAAAAAAGTAATTGAAATATGCAGATACATTATCTTATGTCTACACTATTTACTCCTCACATTTTATAGGATTATTTGCGATACCTATAAAAGAATTGGAAGCACTAATCTTTTCTGTATCATGCAGAGTAAACAAAATACTGAAAGACAGTACATGTCAAATTTGAGTAGTTGCAAAGATAAACTTACAAAGACACGCACACAGTGTATTTCTATAAAGATTTTTGTTGCAATATGAACATTGTGTGGTAATACATCATTCTTTTAAGAATTCCAGATTTTAAAATTATAATATTTCAAGAAATTTTTACGGGAGGTCCAGCATGAGTTTGGCTATTTAGTGTCACTTTTGAAGTGTGCCAGTTTTACAATATGTTAAAGTATTTTAACAATTTGTAATTTAAATCTTCTTGGCAATATAAATCATTCATTTTGAAATAGTATGTCAAGGTTTTGTTTCTTTTAGTGATACAGAGTAAATAGTCTCCTTGCAAGTTACCACAAAATTGAAGAATGTGTTTTATACTAGGAAACCTGTTTTTATGTTCATAAATGTTTTTGTATTCATGTTTATGTAAAACTTGAAATTCTTCTAGGCTATGGGATTAACTGGCCAGAAGTTACTTGGTGTCCCTATCATAGTTCAACCTACTCAAGCTGAGAAAAATAGAGCTGGAAACTCTATGCCCAATATGCCTATGCCAAAGGACAACAGTGGCCCCATGAGACTTTATGTAGGTTCTTTACATTTTAATATTACAGAAGACATGCTTCGTGGGATATTTGAACCATTTGGAAAAATTGACAGCATTCAGCTAATAATGGATCCAGAAACTGGTCGATCCAAAGGATATGGTTTTTTAACAGTAAGGATGTTTATTACTTTTATTATTATTATTATATATAGTCGCATGTTTAATGAGCTGATAGCCTTAAAAGTAATTTCTTGTGTGTATGTGTGTTTCATTTCTTTCCTTTTTTTAATGGAAGAAATTTGTATTTCAAGTGGTAAAATCACGGGAAATATTTTGGGTTCATTGAGCCTAAGAAGGATGTTGGATTAGCGTCTGGCAAGTGATAAATGTTGGAATATCATTAACTTTGAGAGCTTTTTGTTTGTAATGGAATTGTATAAATCTGTCCCAGAGTTGAACACCAGACCGTGCATGTGTGTGTGCGGGCAAGCGTACTTGTGTGAGTACATGTGTTAAGAGCGATTTTTATAAGAATAGGATGTTTTGACAGCTAGAGCTGGCAACACATGTGAAGGTTCCGTGGTCATTGAGCCCTTGAGCCTATTAGACTCTCTTTCTTCCATTCGTTGGTTTGCAGTTGGCTAACTTGTAAACAGCTTTGATGCTTCCTTTTGTGATGTCCTTGTCCAACAAACATGTAGTGTGCCATGAGAAATAATTGAAATTTTGAAGAGCATTGCCATGTGCTCTTCTGTAAAAATTATTTTTTTATAAACATTACATTGAATTTAGTTTTTGTGTGATAAGTATTATGTTTATTTTAAATCCGGGCCTTAAATGTGAGATGTGTAGTGGTGGCCGTGCACGTTTCCAGCTCTTGTGTTGTAGCTTTGTTCAAGAGCGTTTCGTGGTTCCATGGTTTGGTTTTTTTTGTAATTGTGACACTGTTGTGAACCATGAAAAGTCAGTGGTCACAAAGGCCATCCTCCTGGTTCACGATTAAGGAATGCATTATGCAGAACATTAGTGACATATTAAACAATTATTTAGTCGTAATTCAGTTACGATAGCATAGTACTAAATATTGATGTTCAGGATGTTATAATTATAAATAAACCATCCTCTTCACTACAAAAATGCATGAGCCATTCGCTGTGAAACATCCAGAAAAAGTTAAAAACGTACCCTAAAAAATCATTTTTCTCTCTATTTATATTTGTGCAATTTCTTTACTGAGTATGAGAGCATGCTCAAACTATTTTCCACGTACGTAATTAAATTTCAATATTTCTTGGACTCGCGTACTTGCTTATACCTCAGAGAAACTCTTGAGATTTCTTTATAGTGATGTCTTCACAGGAGCCGTAAGCACTGCAAAGGGGCTTGTCTGAACAGCTGCTGCTTGGAGGCATACTTCTCTGAATTACACTTGATGTTCACTTGTTTAGCGAACTGTCACTTTGGCTCATTCTTATAAAAATCGCTCTACATTTACCCAAATGTAAGTTGACTATAGATAACTTCATTTTGAAGAGAACTCCTGAGAATTTTAAATCTTTTATTCCTATTCTCCCTATTTAATCAAAGACCCATCCCCCCAAAATTACTTTCCTTAAAATTTGGGTGCAGATGTTACCTCAGGCCAGGGATTATACATGTAGACACTGTATATCGATATGAATGTTTTCATTTCCATTTCTTGCAAAATGCAAATACACTCTCATTGAGTGTTCAAGTAAGAGTCCGCATGCCCATGTCAATGCCCTAATGCACATCATGTGGCAGTCTCAAAAATGGTTTTTATTCATTTTCATCACGTTTCGCAGCCATTCATTTGAGATTATCTTGTCTTTACCACACCATTCAAAAATATTGGTCTAGTGATATTTTGATATCTTTGCAGCTTATTGTTATGTCATTATTTACGAATTTTATGACCTGTGCAATGTAAAATTAAATCCTAACAGACTAGGCTGTAAATATTAGAAAAATCAGGCTAATTTTGAAGTAAATACAGTACATATGTGACTTAATGAGCTAGTTTGCTATTTTTCAAAAATACTAATGATAAGTTTGTTGTAGTTAGTATATTCAAACTTCACTGGAAGAATGTTAGTTTAAAAGTTATTTTGACTTTAAATATAATTATTCATGTAATATATTCTTAGAAAATCAACGAGTATCTTCTGATGTCTATTACAATGCTTTTCTTATGAAATAATAAGATAATTTTAAAATCTATTGAGATTTTTAATGAATTGTGTTAAACACCTAATTATTGTAGTCTGTACTTTAAAGCAGGGATCTCCAACCTTTGACAGCAGGCCAAATTGTCAAAGTAGAAAGAGGCTGCTAGTCACCTAAAAATTGGTATAGTTCATTTCCAGATTTTACAACAAAGTATGTGGATTATCTAAACCTTTGAATTCATTTCCTGAGCCATTGGAAATTGGTGTAAAAGCTAGGTTGGAGAGCCCAGATTTGACAAGTGGCACTGTGTTGATGTTGTGTGAAATAACTATATTATTTTATTGGATTCCATGATTATGTGAATGTTTCTCTTCAGTTCCACAATGCTGAAGATGCCAAGAAAGCACTTGAACAACTGAATGGATTTGAACTAGCTGGTCGACCAATGAAAGTTGGCAACGTAACAGAAAGGTCTGATTCTACACAAGGTTCTTTGTTGGATAGTGATGAATTGGACAGAACAGGAATTGATCTTGGAGCAACAGGGAGGTTGCAACTGATGTACAAACTTGCTGAAGGTATTTATAATTGTACTTTTATATTTAGGTGTACAGTTAAATTTAGTTCTTTAAAATTTTGTTTTGTGCTTTGGCAACCTAACAGCAATGTCACTTTCATTTCATAATGGAGATTATTTACATAATGGCCTTGTCTGTTATTTGTTCACAATTGCCAAATTCTAGGAAATTATATTAACCTAAAAAAAATGGTTAACCTGTGTAAAATTGACTTGTCTAATTTTGATTAATGTTTTATAAAACAGATTTTTTACTGACAAATACAAAAGCAAATATCTATGAACTTTTGCATTTTTATTTATTAGACGTTATTGTTCATAGATTTAATATTTGCAATGAATTGGCGTATTAAGCTTCATTATCTCAAAACAAACAAGCAAAGGGTTTATTTAACTGTGCACTTGACGTAAATCTGCTGTTCATGGTTTCATCCAATCAGGAGCTTGAAAGTCCCCGTAGTGATGTCACTGTAGTGACATGTAAGCTCCCTTTTGGATGAAGTCCTGACAACGGATTTATGTCAAGTACCCAACTAAATAATATTATAAGTTGGATGAGTAGTATACATAAATGTTAAGTACTGTATGAAAATTCAGACAGTAATATTTGAACATTTTTGTTGTGAAATAATTTTTATGTAAGATTAATCTATTCTTAAATAAGAATGCAATGACCTTAAATTGTAATAATGGAATACTATTTTTTTAGGCACAGGTATGCAAATACCTCAAGCAGCAGCAACTGCACTGAATCTCAATGCAGCTGGCACATTGCCTATGCAGCAAGCAACACCACCTATTGCCACCCAGTGCTTCATGCTAGCTAATATGTTTGATCCCACTGCGTAAGTGTTAAGTAATTGGCCAAAACAAACAATACAGTGTTTCCAGTTCAAGTTTTGCATGCATTGATTTTTAACTTTGTATCTTCCAGTGAAACAAACCCTAATTGGGACATTGAAATTCGTGATGATGTAATAGAAGAATGTAATAAACACGGTGGTGTTCTACATGTATATGTTGACAAAGCATCACAGCAAGGAAACGTGTACGTTAAATGTCCTTCGATAGCAACTGCAGTTGCGGCTGTGAATTCTTTACATGGAAGATGGTTTGCAGGTATGTTACAAGCTCTTTTTACTTTTTATAGCAAAACGAATATTTTCATTGGCCAAATCATTTCTAAGCGAGGTGTATTGCATTGAATAATTTGCAGAAGCTATTATAACTCTTTTTAGTGCATAAATTAGGGTGGGCAGCAGTGAATCTTGAATACTTAAAAACTGCAAAGCCTGGAATTTTTGGAAGGTGGAGACAACTTGATAAACGTCCATTCATTACGCATTGTACATATTTTTTTTAATACAAATGATATATTAAGTAATTAGAAGTAGACAAACTGAATTTCTGTGGAAAAGGAACTAGTATATAGGATCATAATAAAGGATTGAGCTACTCTAGCCTGTTCTGGGAAAGTTGCACTGTGAAGGTGATTGCTTATTGTGCCTTTCTACTCTTTACTTTCTTTCCTTACTTCATAAGAAGAGAAAGTATTAAAGTGTACTGTGTCCTGGAAACTAAAGAATTTTATACTCAAAACTCCTATTCCCAGGCCTTTGTGAAGAGAAAGTGGATAATTCTTATTTCTTTTAGTAAATTACGTTCTCAAATGTATTGTGTAGTCAGAATCTGTTTTGTGTGTCCTTGACTCTGAAAAATTTATTAACAGCAGAACACCTGTCGGTCCATCTTTCTGTTGTCAGCTGCTTGACCCACTGTTGAGTCTGTTAAATCATGTGAACAGTCCTTTTTGTATCCACTGAGGCCAAAGTAAATTACAGGGCACAGTTGTTGAGTGACATGACAAGAAGTGATTAGCATTCATTTCACAAACATTGGCTATCTTGTATGGGGGCTTGTGTATGTCTATTATTTTGTTAAGTCTCTCAATTGGTGAATGTTCAATGAAATCGTATTTGTTACGTTTCGTTTTAGATTGTAAGAAAATTAAATTATATATTCTTTTTTCTTATTTATATTCTTGATTATTTGGTTAACATGTGATTTATTGCAAATCTCATTAAAAGCCTTGATGAAAGAAAACATTGAAAATTTGAAATTCAAAATTATGGGCTATTCATTTACATCTGTTTTCAGCATTATATTATGATAAAGAGATACTACTGTAGACTGGAATATCAATTTTCTAGTATTAACCCTCAAATTTAAAATAATCACTGAAATGAAAAGTGCAGTTGAAAATATTGAACAGTCACATGACAGGCTTTATCAAACATATCTGAGAAGTTAGTGTAAATTGGTAAAATTTAAATAATGCACAGAATTTTAAAATAAAATATTGGACAGTTGTGCTTCTTAGTTTGCTGGCCTAAAGGGAAAAGAAGGCAAACAAATCTGAAGGTCAATCACATAGGAAATTTTAGTAAGATTGTTTTTCACGTTGACTTTTCTATTGATAGTGACTTTTGTTGTTGCAGGGAGAGTAATAACGGCAGCATATGTGCCTCTTATTAACTACCACAGTTTATTTCCTGATGCAATGACATCGATGCAACTTCTTATGCCTTCTGCAGCTAGAAGAGGATTGTAAATGTTGGTTTTAAGAGACTGACTGAACATGAAAGTTTTTAATAACTTGTGCGTTGAGTGAAAAAAAGTGAAGTGTGTCCTCAAGGAATAAGTGATTTTGAAAATGCATTTGAACCTATTTCTGCACCTTTTGTTTCAAGATTAATAGTGTAGATTATATGAGGATGAGAATGTTGTGATACTTAATGACCTACAGTTTTATGTGGCAAGTGTACTGCCCCAAATAGACTTCTTGAACATTGGTAACAGGTATGTTGCATACATCTTGGGTTGCCTACATTAATGTATGTTTAGGTTCATTGTTGCTAGGATGCTGTTGGACAGATTGAAATTTGTACAGTAAAATCAGTTGAAAACACTATGTATATATTCCCAAATTAAAAAAGTTCTTTATAATGTGTTCACTGATTGCTGGAAACCTATCCCAAGATATCTGAAGATAAAAATTTTATTTCCAAAACTTTGGGGGGGGGGGAACTGACATTGATATTGTGTTGATCCATATTTCTGTATTTATTTATGTGATGACAGTTAAACCCCCTTTGGTATGTGATATAAGCTGGTAAAATACTGGGTAAAAATTTAAACTGTTGCTATTAATACCCAGAAGTCTCTCAGGGGCATCACAGGTTAATTGAACAAATTGTAGTGTTCAAAATAGTCTAATACATAGAAGAAAACAATGCTGGGCTTTGGAAATGTTGCACGAGAAAGGCACTTGTCAAAGTGACCATGATGAGCAATTTTGTAAGTTAATGTTTCCAGAATTAAAAGTTGCGCATGGGTAAGTGTATGTTACACCACGTTCTGAAATGATGACGTTAAAGTGAACTAGGCCATTTTAAATGTAAAATTATTTGCTTACCCTAGTATATGAGAAAATCTGGTCTTTATTATTTACAACTGGCAAATTTATTTCACATTTAAAACACTCACCAGCATATGATGAAAATAATACATAAAATTTATTGGATATCACTAAGAAAAATTGAACAAGAACCTGCATTTTCGGAATAAATTTTGTTAATTTCTGGCATGTTTTGCCATTGAAGATATAATAATAGAAAACACATTTTACAACTTAACACAATCATTTTTTGTACACAAAAATTATTTTATTGTAAGAGTACTGTTCACAAAAAAAAAAAGTAACTCTCCTTATAAGATTTGTAATGTAGGAATCACAACGTACAACTTCTATGTACATTTGAAGGAAAATTTTTGGTGATCAGAAGGGATCACCAGAAGAAAGGGACAAAACATGTTTTGAAGAATATAGAATGGTGATAAGAGAGAAGAATGTTAATAAGAACGACTAGAAGTAATGTAAAGGAGTATGAGGGAGCAAGATGTAAGGCCAAGAAAGTAATTTGGAAAAAGAAAAGATGGTACATTTTCATCAACTTTTGAATGAACAAAATCATTCAATATAAGGATAATTTATATGGACCAGACCTGGAACTTGAAAAGCCTACAAGAAACAAAACGAATGCAAATGTAAGAAAACTGAAGAATAAGGCCCAGAGATTAGCTTGTATATCAGTAGAATGTATAAAAATGTGACCCAGATCTCTGAGGAAGAATGTACATTATTTAATATGGAGAGAAGAATGCCAAAAGATTGGCAAATGTCAGCTTTAAACCTTTATAAGAAAACGAATATAATGGAATGCAAAAACTTCAAAGGTATAGCTGTGTTGAGTTCCGTTAATAAAATATTCTCAACAATTGTAGCTATAAAGTTAAGATATCAAAGTAGGAGATTACTGTAGTGGCTTTAGAAAGAGTAGAGCACCACAGACCAAATATTTTGTCTATAAGATCAGTGTTAGAGTAAGCATATGAAACAATAGATAGTTGAAATGATTATGGCATTATATGAGTGAAGTAGCATTGAAAGTGGTAAGATTGATACAAATGACCCTTCTGGACTCCTGTACCGTTAAATTTCAGGAGAAAACAACTAAGGAATCAAAGACAACATGGATAAAAGCAAGTGGATTAACTGTCTACTATGTTCATTAATATATGCCTTGGAGAAAATGGTACAGAATATAGAGATGTATCCTGAGGGAACAATTTTAAATAAACCAGCGCATATTTTGGCTGAAGCAGATGACGTGATAATTAGTAGGACACAGAAAGACAAGGAAGAAGCATCACAGCAACTGATGGAAGGAGCTCAAGGAACGGGGATTGATTGTGGTGATTCCCGGGTATGTCAACTACTATGGTCGTTAGTCCCGTTAGTGTTGCGCACGTTTTCGCTCGGGGGTGGAGGTGGTCTTGCCCCGTTGGATGGAGAAATCCGGCGTCGACCTACCATCCCCTAATCAGATATCTCCCACTAACGGGGTACCGTCCCATTAGTTGACAAGCTCCCGATATGTGTGGTAGTGTATGTTAACGTAAGGGGAAAGGATAGTACAAGAAAGGGGAAGGAAAGTCCGTGGCCTGTTTGTTAGGGAACTGCTCCGGCATTCCTATGATCGTGTTGATCAGAGAAACCACGGAAAACTACCGATCAGAGCAGCCGGCCTCTAGAAATCTCCTCCAGTGACTGAATTCGACAAGCGACAATCTGACAAGCTAGTCTCGAAAATCCTCTCACCGTCGCGACTCGAACCTAGGACCTCCTGGTCTCGGGACTACAGTGACATCAGTTACTGCCCTCAACAATCTCTCCCGATGAATGGGGTTGGAAATATATGAGAATAAGTATCAGTACAGAAAAATATACTTATTACATGGCGCGTCAGGACCTGTCTTCATGGTGGAATATCGTACGGCATTTCGCGTCTTTCTCAGTCGTGCCGGTAGAGCACAATTTAGCCAGCGTCATTCTACATAATCTGTAATATGAGGCATGTGACTGAAACATTTTGAATAAACAAATATCCCCTCCCAAAATTCGCCTCTGGATCCGCCCCTGCGCTAGATGTCGCATGATCGGGACCGTATCACGCAGTGCGATGTGTAGCGGCACGGCCGAGAACGACGCGAAATGCCGTGAGATATTCCATCATGAAGACAGGCCCTGGCGTTCCAGATTATAAAATCCCAAGTGCAGAAGGCGCCACTGTCGTAATACTTGCGTTATTCTTTTTTGGCGCGCGAGGCCTTGTTTTCACGATGGAATATTTCTCGGTGTTTCGTGTCTTTCTCGGTCGGGTCGCTAGATGTCGCGTAATCGCCAGCACTGTTCGATGCAGTCGAGATCATGCGGCATCTAGTGCCACGACCGAGAAAGGCGCGAAATACCGTGAGATATCCCATCATGAAGGCGGGTCCGCCCGCGCCAAGAAATAAAAATCCAAGTACAAGGAAGGAAGGACCAGTAGTTCTTAAGCAATGTCAGTCTGTTTAAGAGACTCTTCACGCTGGGAAGATGTTACTTTGCATTGTGAATGGGCCTCAACAGCGGCGTTTTCTACGAGTGCACGTCGTGTGTCAACGACCAAGGAAATTTAAAAAAAAATACTTTTTTCCTTTCGATTTTTTTTATTTATTCCGGTCTTCCGTGCGATCAGCACCAGCGTGTACATGCAATGCCGGTAGTGTGCGAGCGTGGTGGATCTCGATTCAACGACCTGCTGGAGAGCGAGCGCCGTGATTGTGGTATTCTCCGATTGCATCCTTTAGCGATACTCATGAAATTATTTTTTTGATAAAGGTCGTGCAAATGGAACAATAAGTTTAAATAATCGCTCCTTTTCGCAAGAAGAAAAGAAACAAGTAATTCATAATGGGTGACCATGTCCTCATAATATTTCAGAATTTATTTTTCTAAACGTGAACCGAAGAATGGGAAAATCGTCAAGAATGTCTTTGTAAATACTTTAAAATGTATTATTCCAACCGTTGTAAAAGAAAATATGCCCTCGTTATTTTGCGACTATCTCTCCTTCAGTCTTCTAGTATTGTAATTTAAAATAAATCAGGATTTTGTTTATATATTCAATTTTACTCTAAACATCCAAGCGAAAAGAGTAGTGTTGGGATTAACACTTTCCTTCACTGCCAACGCCCGAGGTCTACAGTGAGGAGACGCCACTGGACTCGTTAACAAAGAAAATAGCAAACATACTTGCTGTATGGGAGAGAAAAGTCTTACCAACGCAGAATTATGTTTTAAGGCGAAAAGACTGGAATGGTTGGGTCATCTAATTCGAATGAATGGGGAGAAAGCCGTTAGAAAGGTATATGTAGGAAGCATGGCCGGCAGGAGAGGAAGACGTACGCCTAGATAAAGATGGAATGATGAGGTGGAGGAAGATTTAAGTAAGCTATGTGTTAAAAGATGGCGAAGAAAATCAGATGATAGAAGAAATTAGGCTGTTATAATAAAAAAAGCGAAGGGAAAACTAAGAGTGCCGGAGAGCTAATAGAAGAAGCATCCTGTTAAGTCAGCCAACCAGTCGTAAATAGTATGTGTGATTTACCGTGACACAATGGCATCACTACATTTGCCATGTGACATAACAAAGTAGTATACTAAAGATACTGATGCAAAAGAATAAAAGATAAGTAAAAAAACTTCCATGCAAATGTTACACACATTATTTTCGTAAGACAGCCAATCTCGCGCACAAACTATCGCGTTCAATTGTCATCCCTGCACGAAGACACTGCATTTGTCTATCGCTCGGTCGCATCGAGGCGCAAACATATTTGAACACGCACACTTTTCAATTAAAAATAACATAAATTAATGTACGTATTTGCAATACATAATAGTCAGTTTCCCATATCGTCGCCTATTTCGACATGAAATGTACGAATTGCCCCGAAGCTTTGACAGATCGATATGCTGGTTCGAATTGCGCATTCTCATTGGTGGTCCCTACTCCTAAAGTGAGTCATCCGCGCTCTTCCTCGCTGCCCACATTTGCACTCGAGTGTCTCGCGCGCAGCTCCCGATATCAATGGAAGTGTAAAATGCTATGCTGGCCTGCTGTAAGGGCACATTCTCTTAGCATTTCTTAATCTCTCACAGCCCCGCCGCTTCGAATGAATTTCTGGTTCTGACGCGCCTGACAGTAGCCAGCAAGTTGCTGTAATTCTGCTATACTATGAACGCACGCATGTATGGATTTAAATTTCAGGATTCAGGAACCTTTGTTTTAATGTTCATATTTCTTATATGTTTTTGTAAACATGGCTCCATCTAAAAGCAATTGTTGTAGCTCTGGAAACTGCAGCAAAAAGATGTTCCAACAATCGAATTTTTCTTTTGTAGTGGCGCATTTTAATATTTTTTAACTCACACTTTTTCCACTTAGTACATGAAAACTACGCACTTTTATAGAAAGATGTTCCGGTATACAAATATATAAAATTACCATTACTACGTATTACGTCATATAAGTATTTTTGTCAGATGAAAGGTTTAGGCGCTATAACACGTTACATTGTAACAAAAAAACACTATCTTCTGCCAAAAGGTTTTTTTCTCGTGTGACTCAAAATACCCCCACTTCTAGAGAACATTTTCCTCCTAACTGACTTTTTCCGTCAGACGGAAGATTAAAGCAAAATCGTTTGTCTAACGAAAATATTTTCTAATAATTCGTATTTTTCAAGCTAATAAGCAATAGACAATTTTGGCAAATTACATTTTTCAGGAAATTTAATTGTTTCGCCACTTTCTAAAGACCACCTTCCCTCGTTCTATCAACAGAGAGTTCTTAATGAAAAAAAATAACGACTATCAGCACATTGACTTTGGGATCTGATTTCCAACATTAAGTATTTCAAAATACCGTATCACTTGTCCTAGGATATATTCACGTTTATTCCATCATTATCTGACATTACATTAGGTCACGTCTCGTCGCAGTCAGTTGTCAAGATGACTGCGAGATAGCATCTCCGCCTACGCACCTTCAGCGTCACTACCCAGCGGCCAGAATTGGAAAAGAACTAGGATAGGGTGTAGGACCCTTGACAGGGGTTGGACAAGCCCTTCCGAAGCGGCCGAACTCGTTTTGTAGAAACAAATTTCACATGAGATTATCCGGGAATCGAACACGGACCTCCTTGGTGAAAGGCTAGCGACATCACTCTGAACCACTGAGCCGAGCTTTCAACGGAAAAATGGAAAATATTTAATTATAAGTAATTTAGGCTTCTGATAGTTTGATGTATAGATGTAGTAAATGAAAACAATTGAATGTTAGTATATGAAGATAATTGTATGTACATACCACGTAATTTAGCTTTGGGTTATGAATATTGCTTTTAGCTTTTATACATACTGTATATATGAGAACATGAAAGCACATTCCTTGTGGTGTACCTGGTGACGATAAGCAGAGAGTATATATAACCTAACGATAAGTACATTGGCAAACTCTCCACTATCGTCCCCTCTGTGGTCCAGCCGAGGGCGGAGCGGCGAGGACAGCCTGATCGCGGTGACAGAAAGACAAGCGGTACTTTCAGTGTGTTGATGACTTTAGACGTCATATCTGCAATGTTCGTCCTACGTCAAATGCTGATCTTCACTTCCAAACAGACCAAGGAAGCACACAAATTTACCCCGAGATGTTCTCTATCATTCCAATAAGAATTACTATTTATACAGGTTTAATTGTAAAACAAATTACTGTCAGAAGTCATCACTTTCTCTTATTCTGACGTCTTTTTTTAACAAATTAGGTGCTTTTTTTAACATGTTAGCTTTTGCTTTCATTTACAGTATTTGGAAGGTACTTTACCGTGACCGTTCTAACGAACATATTACCTTAAAAGGGAAGAACGAAATTGTCGCTCTATAAAATCAAGGTGTAATGTTAAAGTTAGTCTCTCGAATTATTTTTCACATTATAAGTTGGCAATATCTAAAGTAGGTTTGGTTGACTTTGGCTACGGCATGTTTCTTTCTTTGGCGTTTAATATCAGTCCACATTCTTTACATTGAAAGTGAAATATAAACAAATGGTTTGTGGTTGTGTCTGAAACAAAATTTTAAGTGAGCTTGGTACTATGAATTAATAGATGGTGCTAATCTATGTTGATACCGTGCACCTGAAGAAAAACAGTGATGACAATTGTATGATCTGCTTTTATACCGCCATTGAGGTCTTCCGGTTGCGGTGTATAAATTAAAAGAATAGCAGCAGTTTTTTATCAATTACTCCTCGGAATGCTTGGTGAGGTATGTTACATTTAATATCTGATTCCTAAAAAGATTTACTATGAATTGAATGAAAAAATGAAAGTTTGATCATATAACATTTTCAGTAACTTAAAAAAGAACTATGCCGGCGAAAGTTTTTCCATAAAAGCCAGTACTAATTTATACTACTTTAATTAAGAAATTAGGCCGGTTAGGGCTATTTTGTTTCTTACCATCTTGAAGAACAGATATTTTATTTTCGTTTAAAGTATTTTTGGGGTACTACACTGTGGTCGATAGTATATGCTACCTTAAGTGTGTGAAGTTTTTGTTTTTTGCACGACTGAGACTGAAGGTTTTTCCCACGACCTATCTGTCTCAATCAATATCGAACAAAATAACTTGACTCATGAAATATAAATATTTTTCTACGATCGTAGAAAAATGTTTTTATAACAAATTATAATTTGTTTCATCTCCATTCTTCGTGGTCGAGTGTAGCATTAATGTCCTACAGTGTCACCTCCGTTAACGATTTAAAAAGAAAAACAGATAACTATTGTCCGAATTATATTTTTGTTCAGTTTATGCAGTTAAATGTAATGATGTGAGTTCAATTATGTTGGTCAAATAAAATAAAGAAAAAAACAATATCAAAACATGGAAAAAATATCAAAGAAGTTACTAATAGACAAAATTCAATATTCCAACATATAATGAATCTAAATCATGCAATACATTTTGATCAGTTTTTTGGAGGTAGATAAATAACTAAGAGACAAATACTAGAAATTGAATATAAAAACTCAGAATACTTTGAATAAAGTAATAGAGTCCAATCAGCTTTCGAAGATTTATGACAACATACGAAATATTTTTCGGCAACAACACACAGAGAGTATATATCAGAGTATATAACACATCCCCACCTTTTAACATTAGGATCATTCATTTTAACTTACAACTCTTGTCAGTTCAGTTACTTCATCTTTGCAACGGCTCTATTTTTAAACGGTTATGGCTAGTGGCTTGACTGCACACCACTACGTATTAGCATTAAGATATGTTTTTGTGTATATTCAATCAATTCCTAATGTAGGAGGCGTTGATATATTCCATTTGGTAGTATTCCAAGTAGCATAAAAAAGGTGAGCTTTCATTGAATTGGGTATAGATTTAGTTATTTATTTTATTTTTTGTAATTCCCCTTTATTGAATATTGAGAAAATAATTTTGGTTTCGTCATTCTGACAAGTGACTGTGAACTGTGGTGAGTGCAAAATAAATATGAAAATATCAGTGATAAGAAAAGCACATGAAGCTGTCATGTTACCGCAACGTACTATATTCACTGACATTTTTATTTTATTAACACTAAAGTAAAATAGTATACCGAAAGTAATGCTTATTTTCTAAGGAAAAGCCAAAAAGGAAGTCCCTAAAGGAAGTAGACTTTATATTATGAATGAACAACACAAGTTGCTTTATAATCCATGAGGTGGAGACATTGCGTTGGATTGTCGACGAAATCAAATACTAAATGCGCGCCTCAACGGTCAACTGCCTGCGATTGCATGGTTTACTTCTTATGTTTTTGCTTGGTGAATGCAACGAGTAGGCAATGAGTGCGAGATCAGAGAGTAATTAAAGAGTTCCAGGCACACTTGGAAGAAAGCCAAGTTGAATGACAGCTGACGAACGAATGACATTAGGAGAGAACGGAGGCAACACGAAGAAGGTGATACGTGGTGATAAGGTGTGAAAATCATTGGAAGTTGGAACAGTATAGTTTGGCGAATGCCTCTCGCGAGCGCGACGTCTGGCAGACTATTCAGATTCCTCTGAAGACAAAGACTTGGCAGAGAGAATCGCGGCCATAAGGTTTGATCGTGCAACACCAAAATACTGTTGTAGATATTGTGTCCTCATTTTGATTACTTTTATTTTGTTTTATATTACACATATGCGTATTAACTAAGGGCTATGCTCTTTTCGATTTAGGTTGCCTTTTCACTTATTTTGGTTAACTTTTAAGTATTGCACATTTATTGTCGTTTCGTAGATAATTATCCTTATTTGGAAAATATTTACATGCAAAAACGTGTGTGCCCTTTCCAATCAGGTTTACATAAGTGAATGATGTCTGCCCAAAACGCCATGCGTTTGACGAAAACTGTGAAAAAGTTAGAAAAACCCCGTCCATTAAAAGTAGCGGCAAATCAGAATCGTCATTCTGTTGTGGATAGTCGTTTATCTTCAGGTGAGTTGAATGTAAATGCAAATACCTTCCAGATAGTGGAAAATTAACGAAGTTTGTTTTAAATGTATGGTGTTGAATATCAGCATATTTTTGTAACAGTTGAAGATGTAATGGCTTTAGCTGATGCTGTTTCAATGCACATTATGAATGGAAACTATGACAAAGTGCTGCAAACCAATATATGCACTTTATGCACGAATTTGAAGATTTATGGATCACAATTGGAAGCTGTGTACAAAGGTAACAATTAAGTATAATTGCTTGTAGTTGAACAAGGTTGGGCTTATAGTTGATTTCTAATTTGAGATCCTCTCAAATAGGCCATTGTCTGGTTTATTCAATATCCAAAATGTGTTTTGCTATGATTTAATGTGAAAGACAAAGAAAAAATTACCTTATTGATGTGTATTCATTTGATGCCATTACTAATGATTCAGGGGGTATTATAAAGATAATTATGGTTGTGTGGTGTACAATGTCCTTATCTTATGGTATGATCAGTTGGATGAAATAATGAATGTAAAATAAGTGTTGCAGTAACGTTATTACAGAAACGAAATTTGTTTCATGGTTTAATGGAAATTATGATTCTATTTTTGTAAACATTTACATTATTTTTCCCCTTTTTACTTTATCCGAAGCTTTGCAAGTGAATTGAACACTTTTTTGTGTAAATGACATCTTCAGTAGGGTTATTAAAATTTAATTTTTATGACTGGCATGCATAGGATATGATATTAATTGGTTCTTGGCAGGATTATTAATAATACTGGAGAAATAATTATGATAATTTTGGCTTATGCAAATTTTATATTGCAAGTAAATGACTATTCAATGACCATCATTTAAGATACTGCACAAAACCAAACCTTTCTGTTAGAAAACCGAAAATTAACTCGTTCCATAAAACAAATTCAATATTTGCTAACGATGTCATGAGTATGTTACTCACAAATAGTTTCTCATTATTTCTTTTTTTCTTTCTTTAGAAATATATTTTATACGAGAAAAGTGTTTTTTATGCTTCAGGTTAGGCTTGCCAATTTCCGCACATAAAAATTGGCAAATTTGTGAGAAATATGAAAAGTATCTTTTAAATGTTCAATTATTCATAATATACACATTCAAGAAACCCCTAAGAAAGTGCAAACATCGGCGGTATCTTTTGTAACATTGTGGTCCTCCTTATGACCTGTGAACTTGCGCAGCAGCCAAGCACGTTTTAAGTATCGTAGGCAGCAGTTTGTTTTTGGAACTTTCTGTTAGGGCTGGGATGCAGTTTACTTTACAAGATTGCAAAGTTATGGAGCACTTTTTGTACTCATGATTAATCATAATGCTTAATCAGTAGTACAGGTTAGGGAATGATCAGGAATTGGTCCAGAACTAAACAAAGATGATGGTACCATGTTTTTGTAGAGCTGGTCTGATGAACAATGAAAGCAGTGCTTATGGAAACTAAATTCAAATGTTTCATGGCCCATCTGAACTTAAATTGAAAAATACTATATAAATGAAACATCCCGTTATTAATGAACATGCACAATGAATAGCTTATAAGTATTATTCTAAAATGAGAATCTTTTCTTATAGATAAAATATAGTTCTATCTATATTGTTTGTATAATCCAAATAACCTCTTCCTAAACTTATTTTACTAAGGAATTTTGTTCTAGTATCTTGAGAAAAGAAAGATTACGTTATTATCAATTTCTTCTATATTATTATTTTATTTTTCTGTAGATCTGTTATAAACAAGGGGGAAAAACTTTGTAAAAGACGATATGATGTGTGTAGTGATCATAATATTAGTTCCGTGCATGTTTTTGTTTTTCATCTTCAATTATTGTAATGTTAGCTTTGTACTGTATATGAAAAGTATTAATAATGAATTTTCAAATTGAACTCACTCACATACATCTCGTTCACTCTTTTCTCAGTTTATATTATTTTGCACAAATGTGTGCTCTAATACTCTTTCTCAATCACACCATTAAATTGAATGCACACATGCTTCCTTACACACACATTATAAATGAAGAAAAAAGGAACGAAGGAGTCAGAGTTAACACTTAGAAGTAATATTAAAATAATTTTTTCAAAAATTAATTGCTTACATACATTTTGATTCACTTTAAAGTTTCTCAAAAACATAAAAAAATCCTTATTCCAATATTCATTACTGAGATTGTTTGCAGATACAACTGTGATGCGTGTTAATAAGCAATGGTGAGGACCATTGCGAAGTCACAGCTGGCAGAAATCCTCTTGGATAGATCTTCCAAATAAAACCATCTTCTGTGCAGTGACTAAAATTTTTGCATCTTTATAGATGTAATCATCAGCTGGAAAATACAGGGGCAAATATACCATATTATTATTAATGTTTGTTTCCATTATAATCTTGTCATTGTTTATTGTCCTGTGGTGGTCTTCTGTGGCTTCAGCTCAGTGTGATCCTTTAATGTCAAGATGTGGTTGGGTCGGTGTGGTAAACCTTCTATTTGGGAAATGCTTGAGGAAAACGCATTTACAAATATGGTATAGTTCCAATTTTTATTAAATCCTCTAAAATTTTGAAAATTGCAAAAGTTTAAATATTTTTCGAACTTGTTTTATGCTTCTCAACATTAAGACTATGGATGTCTTTTTCAGTGCAATTGATCCCTCAATTTTAGATCTTTAAATGATGAGTAAATTCGTTTAACAATATGAGTAGTTGAATAATTTTGATGGAAATAGTCATTTTTCAAAAACACACAAGAATTTCTCAAAAACGGTTTTAATTTTTTTCTTTAAACTTAAGTTTAGAACTCAAAATGCCAAAATTATTTTTACATCATATTTTAACCAAAGACATATGGTATTCATTAAAATATCCAAAGTATGGATTTCATAACACTAAAAGGAGGAAAAGTTCCAATTTACCATGTATTCCCATTTGTTTAACTTTATTCTGAATACCAATGAAAAAACATCAGATTTCCATAATTACAAGTAGCAAAGGGGAGGAAATTTATTTTAGAATTTTTCTCTGCGAACTCTCAGAAAGTTCTTGCATAACCTAAACTAATTTTATTAATTTAATGTATATACACTTTTAGCTTTTTTCAGTAGTTAGAATGTTGCAATGGACTACATTTTATTCTAGACCAGCTGTGCACAACCCACAGACTACAAACAGCTCTCAGATGTCAGACAAATGATATTTAAACCGGCTTCAGAAATTATACCTGATCTTTCGACTTTCACATTATTTGAGAGAAAATTCGAGAATGTCTGATGTATTGGGATAGAAATATTTACAGCTAAATTTTCTAATGTTGCCGCTGGGATTCGTGAGTAGAGGCGTAAGCTGATAGTGGTGGGGAGATAGTCAGGAGGAGGTGGCGCTCGTTTGCTCGCATTTGGTTTGCCTGTCTGTACCAAAAACATTAGCACCGCATGTGGTAGCTAAATTAATGTTTGTAAGTGTCTTTGGTAGTGGAGAAACATCAAATTCACGTGATGACCTGGCTCTCCTCTTATCGTCCACATCTTTTCCACTGTCACTGGTTGAAAGAGAAAAGTTGAAAATAAACAAGATTCTCCTGATTTAATAGAATTCATTACCTTATTAATTCTGCAAATAAATACACCCGTAGCAGCTGCCACTGCCTTAAGACCTGCTTTGACATTTTTAATGCTTTCTTTTGCTTCTCTTTTCATAAATTGATATAGTCTTGCAATGACTTCACGTATCTCACTGTGAAGGATGTCCTTGTGCAATTTGCTTTGAACCAGACGCATTGCAATAATCACATATAGAACTTTATGAAAATCGTGTAAAAGTGCTTCACTCTCATAGGGTAATGCAAAGCTTGTACCTTGTGAAGACGAAAAGTCAGGGCCAATGTTTACACAACTGGAGTAGGGCTGTTAACACATGCTGGGAAGGGACGTGTGCCTAAACCAATAAGTTTAATGAATGGACTAATCTGGCAATACTGAGCTCTCAACCTTCAGCGGCCACACTAAAATAAGTTCACTGTACTAAAGGGGACATGCAGTACGGTATTAATAGAGGGTTCGCTTGCGACTGGACAACTGTAATTCTTTGATGCTGCTTGGCTGTGGTAAGTTATATGACTTGGGCATGTTTCTGGCCAGGCCAAAAGATTCCTCTGAAGGAGAATGCTTGTATGAAGTGAAAAGTTTAGGTTTCATTTGGAATGTTGGTGTTTATTTGGCATTTGTGATGGACCGTGGTGGAACATAGCATCTAGCTAAACATAGTTTTTTGAGGAAACACCTTGTTCCAGAACAAATAGAAAAGCCTTTTTTGTTGTGATGATTTAAATTCAAATTTATCGATGACATTTATGCTTATAATATATGTGCTTGTAATGGTTCACCATTTTTCTTTTGCTTTATTTGTGTTGTAATTGTCTCATAATCAAAGGATATATGAAGGGTCTTATTTTTGTTACTAACTGGGGATTTTCAATCCTTCCACATTTCACATCCACGTTTTATATTAAACTTTAAATGATGGAGTAAATAAAAAAATCATATGATGTGGTTATGCATGTTCATCATTGCAAATGAGAATCATGTAATTGCCTATAAATCTTTTCAAATATTTAGATAATTGGTTTCGTCTTTTCAGATCAGCTGGACCGTGCATATGTTGTTTTCCGAAATGGTTGCCGAGATGACAGGTTAGACGTAAGTTCTCGAATTCAACTCTTGGAACTGATCGAGTTGCGAGCTACGAACTGGTCTCCATGTGACAACATGAATAGCTACTATAAGCCAAAACTCAGCACTATTGAAGTAACTATTTCTAATTTAGTGGCTACTTTATGTAAAATGTTTTGTGTTGTTCCTCAAAAATATTGTTTATTTCAATATATATTCATGTATTAATTAATTTATACTTTTTACAATTCAAATAATTGATAATAATATAATTGCCACTATTTTCAGACTGAAATTGTGTCGGCCCCTGAAACACCTACTCATCCTGGCATGACTCTGCCCTTAATGTGTCCATCTAGTTCACCTACCACTGTGCAACCTCCTGTTTTATCTCCTGGTGAAGTAATAAAAACATCTGGAAAATTTGCTAAACCCACAAAAATTCCTGGCAAGAATTATTGTAAGGATGAAGTTGTAATAAGGAATTCAGATTCAGGCAAAGGTACGCAGTATTTTAGAGTAATTTTTAATTTTAATTTTCGTTTTATTTAATTTAATACGTTTACAAATGGATTGCAATTTCTATGGTATTTTATTTGCCTTTCCACTGATTTCCATATCTTTTGTTCTTCAAAATAATGTAGTGATGGGAATCAAGGGGCGCAGAGTCCATATGATTGAAGAACTCAGTGAAACAATTATTTCTTTTCAGCGAGGTAGTATCACTGCCATTCTTGGATTGCTTTAATGATAACATTTGTAAAATGCATATAAGCTCACATTCAAGGTTTGTTGGTGCATATTTGTTGAAATGCATTGAATTTTTATTACTGAATAAATTAATACAGATTTCACAACTGTAATAATTAACAGTGATGATGCTCTCATCTACAAAACTATCTTTTTATTGTATGTATAGTTATTTAAATCTGTTGTGGTTTTTGGTGGTGTTTGTCACTGAATTATAAACCATCAGACATTTGGCCAATTTTCACATATTTTAAGAAACTTGAATATTTGATTTTTACCTTTGCACATAATTGGTTTAAAAATAAGTGTGGTTATTTAATGAATGTAGAATATTGCATTGCAAATTCATTGAATTGTATTTAAAATAAATATGTACAGTTCTTTGAAATGGGTGTTTTGGGAATGCTGTATCACTTAAGCAAAAATAATTTCAAGTTTTTAATTCATTAGGGTAATTATTGTTTACAATTTGAAACCACAACAGAATATTTTTAATTTTAATCCATGTACCTCAAAGCTCTACTAATATGCTTATTTCTTTGAAAACAATTTCCACCTTTTATATTATTAACAGCTAAGTCATTGATACTGATGTGTGCATAGTTAACCTACATTTATGTTGAAATAACTAATGCATTTGAATGTTACAATATTGCACTTCATATTATTTAAGCAGGCAGTGAATGTAGAGTTGCTTGAAGCTGAGAGAAAGTGTATAAAAGTTTGTAAAGAAGGATGGGATGACAAATACTTTTTGCATGAAATACCATTATTAATTTTTCATGATTTTTGGCTTCTGATATCTTTGATAATGTTTCTTTGACCAGTTCATCTTTCTTACACCACTTGTAATTAACTGCTTATCATTTGTCCACATTATTATCTAAATGCATTTTCTGTTGCACTTTTTAATTGATGCAAGCTTATTTGCTTTTAGTGTGATGATTGAAAGTGTGAATGTAATATTACAATTTTTTAAAATACTAGTAAGTTTTTTTTTCTTAAGTGCAATAAATAGAAAATGCAAATGCGTTTTCTGGTGGAAATCACGTTCTTTAGCCCTTTCATTATCAAGGGGACATTAGCGTCATACTTTACTTTGAGAAGTTCGCCGGAGTGAGTATTCCAATTTTTTTTTGTGCTACACTCTTGTGGCTGTCATGTATTATGTCATGAGATTACCAGAATTGCATGCTTGTCAAGATTTAATTGAAGGACCATGTATCCACTTCATTTTGGTCATTTTTATTTTTTCCTGTGTATTAGAATTTTTTTAATGCTTATTTTGCTAGTTTTAGTATTTTATTGTTAATTACCCCAATCTGATACAAATTACTTAACATTTAATTATGTAGATAATTTGTGGAAAAAGAAACAACGTTTTTTAAGAAAAATGAATATAAATTTTCTTCTTGTGACCGTATATCATCAGTGACGAAAAATACCAGTGTCACTCTCACAACCCACAAAAAAATTGCAAAAACCTGACATTAAAAAAAAATCATTCTTCAAAGTGGGAATAGTGTGTAAAAAAGGAAATGCAAAAATATCCAAAATTAAAAATCACATTTGTAAAATCCGAAGAAAATTGAAGTCATGAAAGGGTTCAATAAAAATGTCTTTATTAAAAGTAAAGGTTTTGTGTAAGTTGTAAAGTTGATCTGTTCTTTCTGCAGTGAGTCCAGGGGCTAAAGAAAGGCTTGTCCAGATCACAGGACCTGCAGAAGATAAAATTAAGTATGTTTATTTTATATTCTATGAGAAATGATAATCAAGAAATATAATTTCAATATTTTTACCTTCTCTTCAATTTTCAGTTATGCTAAGCAGCTCATGGAGGATACAATCCGTCGCAATGCTTCTCCAGTTCGTTTAGAGCAGGCAGAGAAAGAAAGAGTTGGGGGCTCTAGTAGCAGCCTGAACAGTAGTGCTTCTGATGACAGTAACCGCCTTGCTCAAGGTAAGCTCAGTTTGAGTATGAATAGAGATTTAAGAACTTAATGGCTAAACATGTGGACATATTTGTCTAATTTTGCTGATTACTTCTTAAGGGGTTGTCCATAAATTATGTAACTCTAAAGAGGGGAAGAGGGAGGTTGAGGCAGCGTTATGGTGCATTACATAAGGGCAGGAGGGTATTCGATTAATATTATGTAACATTGAATCAAATTAATTTGTTTTAAAATATAAATAATTTAAAGTTATTAGAAGTATAAAGTAAAGTTATTAGAAGTTATGGAAGTATTTTTTCATCAGGTGTTTTATTGCACCTTTAAGAGTACAAAGAAAATATTTAAAATTGATATGTAATAATACGTAGAATAAAATTAAATTGGTGCAGTAGACTCTCACCCATGCCCCATCCACAATGGCAGCATGTGAATGGCTTGTGATCAGAAATTCCTGGCCATTGGGTCCTTCCTTCACTTGAAACTTGCCCTCAATTTTATTGCTAAACTTAATTGAGACTTCAATTATCATAAATTTTAATACACAACAGAAATAAAATGAATGCAATTTTTTTTATCATGTTATAATTTATTTTCACTTCTTGCATTTAAAAGGGGTGGGGGTTGTAACAGGCTTTATGTAATGATTTAGGATGGGGTTCAAGCGTACGTTACGGTTGCATTATTGGGGAAGAGGAGGGTTTTGAAAATATTCCAAATTTGCGTTAGGTAATTTATGGATAGTCCCTTAAAGTTGTATTTTGTCTGGTAACGTTTAGCAGATTGTTTTATTTTTTGAGAAATCTCTGATAGAATTATCATGCATTATTAGGATTACTGTATTATCCAAATATAAGACGAGGGTTTTCCCCCTAATTATCAAGGTCATTTTGCATTTGTAGATTGAGTCTAGTTGGATTGAATTTGTTTTTAGATTTGCTTTCCATGTCAAGAAACATGAATGTTGGTATAACTTTGTGGTAACATAAGTTGCAAAGGCAGTAAATATCACACATATCCATAATACCTCATTATATTAGTGGGTGTGTTCTTATTATCCATGCATTCTTGATTTGCAAATTTGATGAGTAAACCAGACCAATATTTTTTAATGGATCGGTAAAGAGGGAATTGTAAACAAATGGCTTTGTATTAAGTGAAAGGTGAGATGAGAAAAAATAAAAATCGTTGTTGAGATTTTGTTCCTTGGGGCTGAGATCGAGGACATACTGAATCTGCTTAATGCCCAGCAAGTGCAAATTATTTTTTGGCAAGAAATCGAAATGAACAAAATCCACATTGATAGAAGATATATTCTACATCAAACCCGAGAGACAGATCAATGAAAAAATGCTCTTCGCATAAATTCCCCAAACTTGGAAACCTGCTTCTCTCCTGTGCTGCATGTGAAACAGATGTAAATATTTGCAGTACACAACTCAATCAGACAGACATGTGAATGAAAGTTTAATGTTTTTGTTAAAGATAGTGAAAGAACAGTTAAAGAATCAGAGACCAGGAACAAAAGCAAGATGGAAAGAAAATTGGAGATTCAGAAGGGAATTTTTGAAGGTGGCCCCAGATGAAAAACAAATACAAATTCAACCTGCAAAACTTTTTAGCATGAACATTCAACACCATAGTATGGAAGGAGGGCCAAAAAGAAGGAAATACGATGTATGTGAAGATGAAAATAATGACAAAAACATGAAAAGTATTTTAAGGATCAAGAAAATTGTGATACTTAGGCAATATGTTATAACATTCTCATCAGCAAGTCAATTTTCTAGAGAATTTGAAATTTTATTTTCATTCAAGAGCAAGAATTAGTTAACAAAAACAAAACAAAAAACAAAACAAAAAAAAATCTGATGTGGCTACTTTTTATTTAGGGAGTTGTCTTTTATTCAGAGTTGCCTTATATTAAGGCTTGTAAATTCAAGGGCAATTCAAATAAAAACTGTAAAAATATAAAAAATCCAAATGTGGTGCTAGTGACCTGTAAGTTGATAGGCATGTTGGTAATAGTGAGCCAGATGTCTCCTAGTTGCCATCATTGTGGAGAAACACAAACTCTGGCACAGGAACAGTGTTAAAATGGCTGCCCCACTAGCAACGTGCACCAGAGAGGAACAGCGTTCTGTGGTTCAGTTTTGCGAAGTGAAGGTGACGTATTGACATTCTTCGACGAATGAAGGTTCAGTATCACAACGCCTGCTTGTCACAGCAGCAAGTTTACCATTGGTGTCGAATGTTCGCAAATGGTGTGACATCCGTGGCCAACGCTCTGTGCCCAGACCAAGCACATCACATTGTGTCTGCAGAGACTATTGAGTGACTGCATAACTGTTGAGTGACTTTAGAGGACATTGCAAAAGCTGTACACAATAGTCATGGTTCAGCACATCACATTGCACATGATATGCTCCAATTTCAAAAGTTGTGAGATGGATGCCCCGACAACTGACCTCGGAATTGAAATGGCAATGCCATCAAAACGAAACGACATGCAATGCTATCGGCAGGTGTTCTGCTGCAACACGACAATGCATGTGCAACTGTTGCGACAATAACATCTGAGATTTGAATGCCTCTCACATCCACCTTACTTGCCCGACCCCCTACACTGTTTTAATTCTCCCTCTATAGGAATCACCTCATCCCACCTTATACCCTTTTTTGGTTTTACTCCACATGGGATTGGTATTGATTATGACAGTCAAGTTCATGGTAAAGTTGCATCACGATTCTGTGCTGTCTACAAAGGGAACTAACAGTCTTCAAACAGTGCTTGGGCATAGGATGAGAGTGGGTGTTTGCAGATCTCCCATCTTTCATGCTCAATGTAAGTAACAGATGCATTTCTCCATGACAAATTGTAGACTGAAGTGTTGGTGGGTTAGATAAACCAATTGCCCACACCTGTTTTGATTATTGAAGATGTTAACACCCCATAATTGGGGGTAACTACTTGCCACCCCACACCGTGCTCATCTTCCTATACTTGCCTTAGCAGCAGCATTTCGGAACTGATCATGGTCACACTAATCCGAGGGTTCTCAAGGTGCAGCTGAATCGATATGCTTCTCCATAGCTGTAAACTTGAACACTATCGACCTAGCTCTGGGCAGACCTTTACTTGCTGTGTCATACCAGTGGACCATACCAGATGATCTACATGGAAGCAACCATTTCCCCACCATTTTCCACTTTAATGAACTTTGGCATGGGTCTTTTCAAGCAAAAGTCAATCTCTCAGATGATCACTTCAATGACCTAGATGAAATGGATGCACATCTTAACCATGCTCCACTCATAGCTGCTTCAACTGCAATTCCTTAATTGAGGGATAAACTGCATCATTCTTTTGTCCCTTGGTGCAATTTGTTCAAGGGCAGTCAGCCCTGTAAAAAGGGGCTGCACAAATTAAGCATTATCCAACAGTGGAAACATGAATCAAATCTAAAAGGTGTAGAGCAAAAGAAAGAAAAACAATTAAGACAGAAAAATCTCCTTGAGGAGAGAGTATGTCTCCTTCCTGTATTCCTATGAGCTGCCTCATCTAAAGGAAATTATGTCAAATTCAAGGAATTTTCTTCCTTAAATACCATGCAGCTTCTTGTGAATGGACAAATGATTACCATTTGAGATAATATTGTAGAGGATCTGTCTGCTCACTGTGGAAAAAATAGTTTGGCAAACTACGCTGCAGACTTCCTTTTAGTCGAAGTTAGAGTTGGAGAACAGTCCAGTGGATTCTTTGAACAGAATGGTGGAGGAGGATTATGAAACCCCATCCTCATTGTCTGAAATGCTCTTTGCACTTGCATTGAAAATGTTCACCTTATGTCCTGTCAAAGTACACCACCTAATTCTTTACCAACCTTTTTGAAATAACCATGTAATTTATCCTCTGGCTCTATAATCTTGAGGGGGAAGATCACACCATCCCTGCTGTGTAGCGAGTTGTCATTATTATCCATTTTAGAAGGCGAAAATCCATTAAAGCCATCAAGCTACCTACCTCTATTTTGTAGCTAAGTATGCAAAGTACTGGAATGCAACAATTAGTCGGTATCTTTAGGAACTGAAATATACTTGTGCCAATCAAGTGTGGGCTCAGAAAAAAACTGGTAAATTCTGGACCAGTATTCTTTGCATTGGCAATACAAATCTCTACCTTGTTTGTCTTGTGACAACACGTTGCCATTCTAATCTGACTTGGAAAAGGCCTATGGTGGAATGACATTTTACAAACCCTGCAGTCAGGGAGATTTAGGGGGAAGTTTACAATGACTGAAAGTTTTTAAAAAATGTACACGAAGGTGTTTTTTACCAGCAATACTAAATTCATTGTGTGCTTCAATTTTTCTCATTACATTTTTATCAATATCATCTGACCTTGAGGTATTACATTTCAGTAATAACTTCTTTGGATTTTAATTTCATTATAATAACTTGAGTTGATGCTTGGGGAATAAATACTTTTAAAAATTAAATTTACAAAGACAAAAATTGCATCCAGCACTTACTTATAAATTATTTTTCAGGTATGAACCGTACCAAATTATTGCATAGTTTTTCTACAAACGATGCAAGTTTGGGTGAATATAAATATACAGTCACAGTGGGAAATCATTCCTTGAAGATTACTGGCACAAATCTTGATTTAGTGAGGGTAAGTAATTATACACACGACAAGTATTTATTAATATTAAAAGTATATTCAATTTATTTTGTAGATAGTGCCTGGAAGTTCTGGCATTTGTTTTACCTAAAATAGACAGGCAAAAATGCATTTATTTTTGCGAAAATAGGCTTGTAAAAAGGCATTTTTCTGGCTAAAGTAGAAGTGGAAATGGGCATGTAAACAATAAAAAGGACCTTTAAAAGTATTTATTGCAAAAAAATTATAATGGTTAAAATAATTCAAATTATGTTGACTCTAAAATTTTCATCAGCACTGACTTAGTAGGAAACAATATTTTCTCATATATTCTCATAAGACCAATGATATTTTTAAAATCTGTCTATCAGAAAGTGTATTATTCATTTTCACTACTGAAAATAATTCTGAGTGGCACACCAAATTTCGGTATGATGACTAGAAACTTGTTCCATGTGCAGAGCTGTATCTATGAAAGGCTATTCTACTAATATATATTTACTAAAGTCTAAACACTAAACTTGTTTAAATTCTGAAATTACATTAGTGAAAAAGGCTATTATTGTTTTTATCTTTGAAGTTACATAATCACCAACACTTGGAAGGGCCATTATAACAGGGTCCTTGAAAGGCATTCAGAGGCCTTACCCGGGGTATGGTATTTCTTGTGACTAAAGATAGTGTGGAGTGTCAATGAAGGAAATCAAAAAAACCTGTCTCCTATCATCTTAGTTTTTCATAACTATCTTTAACTTTTCCTGGACCTGGAGCCCAAGTTCAGTATTTCTTCCCTCATGTCTCCACTTGTAGCGGAAGACAAAAACATGGCATGACAAAGCCTTGTTGTTGTTGAGGCTTCATTTTTTAGGTTGCTTTTTAACAACTTGATCATATAGCAACCACTGTGATTGCTTTAATGATAAAGGAAACTGTAGGAAGAACACATAAGGATAACACAAACACGCAAACAACCATGCCAAGGCAGCTACAACCCTTCAGCCTTAGCTACCTTGCATATCCAGGCAGGCATATAGTATTACTATATGCCTGCTTGCAACTTGTTCCGATTTGATCAGGATCGGTACTTGGAGCAGAAAGGAAAATAATGATGGAAAGGGAGGAAAAAAGTCAAAATACTTAAAATAGGCAAAATGAAAATCTTCCATAACAACCACAAAAATATAATTCGTATTGTCAAAAGTTTAAAAATCGTATCAATAAGGTATTTGGCAAACTTTCAGGATCTACTTTTAAAGAATATGTCCAGATGTGTCACAATAATACTTGTGTTGTATGATGAGCTTGAGATATTTAGGAGATATACCTGCTTAGTTGAGCCATTCTGAAACGTAAGGCTTTTAAAAAAGATAATGAGTAATATCATAATAACTTGATAGTATGAGAAATTGCAAGTAGTTGTAGTTAGAGAGAAACTATTTCTAATTAAATATAATTTTCATATTTATGTACCTATTTTTTATGTGTTCATATTTATGTACCTGTTTTTAAGATTTCTTTACTTTTTTGCAGACAGCAAAATTGGTTTTGGATGAATACTTTTCTGGAGAACCAGAGCAGTACATAGGGACTGGTGATTTTTTCACAGCGTAAGTGCAGCCTTAGATATAACCCGGACCTGTTGTATAATTTCTATGTAATACAGTTATTGGCTAATAAAGGTGGTGAAAATGATTGGGGAAAAATTTTTTTTGATGACACACATTAAGGTATGAGGATGAAGCAGCTGTTTCGGTTGTTGGCTCTGCAACCCCTGTGGGAAACATACCAAGTCGAGTGGGCAGTATGGATAGCGCAGCAACAAGTGAAAGCGAGGAAACATTCAAGGCCTCTGTGACAACTGCTTCAGAGATCAAAGACTCATTTCATGAAACCAACAGTGATGGAGCTTTCATGGTCCTACGGCAGCCACTATTTCCTGATGCCTCAAAAGAAGCTTTTGAACAGGCAGAGGCTTCTGGGCGCTCGACCGACGTGAATGCTCGTAACAGGCGGGCTCTCTTTGCCCTCACCAACCAACAGCAATCAAACTTGGAGTCTCAGCCGAAATCTGAAGGAGATGCACCAATTGGTGAGCTTTGTAATTTTTAGAAGCATGTAAAGCATTTGCATGGTACTATTTAAAATGGTTCATTATTCTTTTGCTTGTGAGCTTGCTATTAAAAATGATATTATTTTGTATGCATATTATGGGAATGTTATTACATTATGTCCATGAAAAGTGGTACATTTGAAGTGAGATGTTTCCAATTGCGGCAGATGGAGGGCCTGAAGCAGGAGTATTGAAACTAGTAGCATAACCCTTCCTTCAGTGACATAACCTGTTTTATTTGCATAGAAAGTTGCGTTTCTTCCTTTATTATTTAAAATTGCAACCTGCCTTCATTATGTAGTAAGACTAAATTTAACATTTCATGCATCAACAGAGCTCTCTAGAATTTGTTTATTAAAAAAACAGTTTATGGTGTGCTGTAGATTTTTAAATGAAAAGGAAAGAAAGCAAGGAGTTACCAAAAGTTATAATTGAGAACAAAATTTATTGTAATAAAGCAACTTGCAAATTTGTTCGTAGTATAAAAGTTATTTTCCAATGTGTAAGAAAAAGTAAAAAATAAGTAAAACAAAACCCATGACAAACCATTAAAATGGCCCCATACAAGCATTTTCTATTTTCAAACCCAGAATGTGACTATTGAGATTTTAAAATGGACTACGAGCAGCTAAATTCTGCCTCCACAGATGTAATTGGACACTAACCTTCACCATAACATACAAAATAAAATGTGTACCGCTGAGTGTATAATGTTTCTGTGAAGAAAATGAGAACAATTTCACTGCACAGCCAGTGACGGATCATAACGGGGGAAGGGGACCATGCTTCCCAAAAACCCAACATAGTTAACGTTGTCACTGCAACAGCATTGGCCAGTGGCAGAATTTTCAACTCTGGCACGATTGCTAAGTTGAGTTCATCCACTATCTGGGGAAGAGATCTTAGAGTCTGTAGTTTTCCATTGTTTCTCAGATTAATACCAGTTGAATGCCAGAGCAGTGTTATTAAGTGGGCCACAGACGTTTTCTTCCATATCTTTCACTAATCCTTCCCGCTTCCATGAGTGCACGCACTCTCATACACTCGCATCGCTCTCGCTCACTTGCTCTCACATTTGCACTCGCTCTCACACTCTCTTGCGCTCCGATATTTAGACACCTCCATGTACCTTGGAAGTCCAGGTGGTCAGTGAGACTTCAAAGGGAATAAACCCAAGAGCTGACAAGAAGGTAGTCCTGGATCTCATGTTCCAGCCTGGAGCTCATGACCACCTGGGATATACACATATGAGACAAATGAACCGAAGTGCTCGGGAATGAAAGAATAGTTGTCCAATATTGTAATTGAACTCCAAAACTCCAATTTGAAAAATTTGAAAATTAGTGCCACATATTTATCGCATCGCATCACATCACTTTATAAAGGAGTTTTCTCTTTGATCTTGAGCAGGCATTCCTATAATATTTTGCTGTCCTGACACAGGCATGTATTTTTTAGAGGGGGTTCAGGAAGCAGACAATGGTCTGTAAGAAATACTTGTTGGTTTCATTTGAGTTATGCATGGGCTCTACAAATATTAGCAAGAATGATGTTGCAAGTATTTCTGCTTTGCATGTATCCATTCATGTACGATTTTTAATTCCATCCACAATTTTTTCAGAAAAAGTCGTATTGTATTGCTTTGATGCTGAAAAATGGACAACTTTTTACTATTCCATATATGTATGTATATACAGAGTAATATATGAAGTATAGGGAAAGTTATGTAATGCTGCGGAACTCTAATTTTGAGATTGCAACCGAAATACACGTTTAGGGGTCCCCTGATACCGAAAAAGTGTAATTTTCATAACTTCCACCCATCTGTCTAGTGTATGTGAACAACAATAGCGTGTAACCCATGCATTGGATTTTTTCCGAATTGAAGAAACCCCTGTCCAGCTGCCCCAAGCCGAAGCTCTGCAATTAGCAAAATCATTCATTAGTTTTTGGGGGTACTTTACATGAAACCCATGGCACATTTTCAAAATTTTCCCAAAAATGGCTCCAATAGTTTTTTTAAATTTAATTGTAAGAAAAGAGTAAAATTCACTTATTAATTAGGCATAGGTCTGATTTTCACGGTTAACTATGAATTTTTGAAGTTTGAATTTTTTTCCTATAACTACAAAATTAAAGATAGAGATTTTGCCTTCAAATAAAAGATAGATAGAGATTTTGCCTTCAAATAAAAGATAGATAGAGATTTTGCCTTCAAATAAAATTTGTAGTTTTCACGCAATTTTGTGAGCAATTTGTGCTATTAAAAAAAATTTAAAAATTCAAGTTTTTCTCAAACTGCCCCAAATTTATTCTTAAATCTTTTGGTAGGAATAGTTCTAAATGTACTCTGAGATGACATAAACTTCATATTGCTATGTTCTTTTGTTTTTTAAACATTACAAAAATTTAATTTTTTTTACTTGTCTCTCACATCTTTAATATTCATGTTAGCAGCAATTTCTTTATATTAATGTATTTATGAGTACACTTGCTTTAAATAATGTATGATAAAGTTTCCCAAAACTCAACAGTTTTCCTTGAAATTGAGCTAAAAATTCTGCATTTTCAGAAATGCTAAAATGCCATTTTCTCAAAAACTGCTCCACATTTTTCCTTCAAACTTTTCCTGCAGATATTGCTACTTGTACTGTTTAAAATAACATAGAATTAATTTTGCTGCATTAATTGTTTTTCAAAAGTTACACAAATGTAATTTTTTTGAAAGATCTCTCATGCCTTAAGTATGCACATTTCCAGCAATTTGTAAACGCTATTGCAATAGTGACTGGAAGTGCATGTAATGACGTCATATGTTTCTCGAAAACTCAGTAGTTTTCTGTGAAAAGGAAGTTCAAATTTTGAGTTATAGTAGCCTTTAAATGCCTTTTTTTTAAAAAACTTTTCAATGAAAATAGCCATTTAGGACAAGGTTTTACTGTTTTTTAATATTCTTTAAATAATAATTCCATTCTACTTTTACAAATCCAGTGAAAAAGTATTTCAAAATGTGTATTTTGGGCAGTGATAGATGGAAGCTGCCTAGTGTATGTGCCTAGTCCAAATAGCTATCCAAGACTAATGGAAATGGAAAACTAATATGGGAAAGTCTGTGCCATTGTTTCACCACTAGTTCCTGTATGTAGTAAATTACTTCTTTAACACATTGTGTAGAGAAGAATCCATGTTTTGTGGGACCTCAACCTGATGCCATGCTGCCATGAATTTGAAATAGATATTATGGTTTTGAGAGTACTATACATGAAGCCCAAGGAAGCAAACTTTTTCAAATTTTTCTCAAAATTGGCTGTAAAAAATTCTGGTGAATTCTCTGAATTTATTAAACCTGGACCAGCATTTTGCACACATTGATACACACTATATCGAGACAAGTAGCAACGTGCACAGACTTGTTCAGACTCTGCTGTTGTAATGTGTACCACAAAGGTACACGGTACACATATTGAACACACTCTGTAATTCAGTTGTGTGAGCAATCTCTTCCTTTCTTTCTTCTTTCACATTTATGTACAGAAAAAAATTGGTAGAAGCAACAATAATAATAATAAAAAAGTTGAAACAAAGAAATTCCTGTAAATATGTACTGTTCATTTGTAGAAAAATATAAAACTTTAAGATTTGCTTCAACATGAATGAAACATCAAAAAAGGTGCTTTTAATAACATTATGTAAATGTTGACCATGTATGTAAATTTATTTTAACCTTGCAGGTTAGCATATTGCAAAAACTAGGTTTTTACTTCAATGCCTTTCATCCATCAATTAAATCTTGTGCAATAAAAATTACTTTTTAATAAAATTATGTGGGGAGGTTGGATTGAAAGAGTTTATTAAATTACAGTATCTGTCTAAATCGAATTTGATCGGGTAAAAATTATTCTGGTTTAAGGTGGTTTCCATTTTAAGACCCTTTTTATATTGATGTGATGCACTAAAATAACATTATATTGCACTAAATTTTTTTCTTCCAACATTTATTTACAGTTTCTTGCTTTTTGGTTTTCCTGCTTATTAAAACTTTTTCAGTTGTTTTCTGAAGTTGAAAAATTTTAATATTTAGAGTTATGTTTTCCACCCATTGTTAAACTGGTTGGGAAACTCAAAAACACACCACCTCATTGCCTAGTGTCTGCTCCTGGACTGCTCATGGACTCTTTCAATGCAGTATGCATCACAACCTATACATATATACAATATACATATATACCTATACAATATATACCTATACAATATATACCTATACATAATATACCTATACATATATACCTATACAATATATACATCTTCAACCTCGCATGGCCTTGACCAATGAGGCTTGGCTGAAGAATTATGATTGTCAACAAAGGGCCCCTAGGTGCATGAATTCAAACAATGCACTTGCTCCATCCCATGCTCAGAGAGCCGGGAGAGAGGGAATTCCCATAGGGCCTTCTCCTTGAGAGGCAAATGACTCCAAGGTTGAATTCTATGCTGACAACTGAAGCTCCTCGCCTTCACTGTGTGGCTGCCATGACAGAAACTCATATAACTGGAACAGAGAAATTGAAACAGACTTGCTGATACATTCATTCCATGAATATAGTATCTCGCGTCTCTCTGTTAATTGCATTAAACTTGCAGAAATTCCGTTTTTTCCCCCCCGCAGGACCTGAAAAACCATCCTGTTTCCACGTTGGACAAATTCCATGTTACTCTGTGTAAAATGCCATTTAACTTCACATTCTGAGAAAATTTCCTGGTTGAGGCAGGCTTGTACAAGTTCCGATTTAGATCTATTTTGGAAGCAGCCCAGTCTATAATTTTTCTTTGAAAGCAGTCCTGCTCCCAAAGGTACCCTGTAAATGTGTGTACAAAAATCTGTTGCATACAGATTGTTAAAGAAAGAAATTAATATAAGAGGATAAAAATATCACTATTGATAAAAATGGACAATAAAAAAGACAAAGATCAGAGACCTATAAAGGTGATTCTTTGAAAGTCTTCAGTGTTTTAAATGCAATTACTTCAATTTGTTGTAGGAAAAATCAAGATGTTAAAATTGTATTATCTTGGATGTATTGCATAAGTATCACGTTTTTAGTTATTCCTCATTCAGAATTCAGATCATTATTATTATCATTATTATTGTGATGATTAAGAAATTACCCTTAAAATCCAGCAACTATTGAGAAAACGGTTCAGTAATATATGTGTGGAGCTATTTGCTACAGGCTTGTAATTTCCTCACCTTGCCTTGCTATGCATGTAATACCACTTTAAATATTTTGCTACACTACATGATATTTGTAAAATTGTTCTTTTAATATTATAAATATTAAAAGAAATTTCTAGGTTATCGTCAGTGAATTTTCATATCTTAATCTAATATTTTAAAGAGTGACGTATGCTTTGTTAAATTTTCTTTTAAATCATTTTGTAGAATCCTTGCCCCCCCCCCC